CACGGTCAGTGTGAAGTTCAGCTGAATAAATCACGTTGTCCCTCCGCCAGCTGCTGTCATTTATGAAAAGGATGTGTAAATTAACATGCGAGTGAATGAACAGAATTGTAGACAGACATGATAAAAAAAATAGACTACTATAATTATGGACGGACGTTATTCTTCAATAGTGAACTGCCACAGACAGAAACACTGAGGATTTGTAATTGACATTCAGTTTCAAACATACGTGCCATCTCAGACTCACTTTGACTTTGACTGAACCACACCAAACGCCCGTTGACGCACGTTGGTTCCTCCTGCAATGGCCGCTTCTTCTTCTTCCCGTGGCAGCCGCGCCGTGGCACTACCGGACGTTGAAGTGCTTGTCAACGGTGTGTGGCCAAAGAGGGTGGCCCCTTGTCGCCAGAATCTGTTTAAAATTAGCATAACTTGAATTTTGACAAATGGGTTGAATTTATTTGGGACTGAGCTCAGGTGATAATTTCGTGGGCTGCCGACCCGAAGTTTCCCCTCAGGAGAGCCTCCGCTCCCTGGCTTGACTGATAAAGGGGTTTTGGCATCAATCACACTGCCATGTCATTAGACATGCAATTATTGATAATTCAGTGTCCAGGTCATGGTCAACAACGGCGTGGAGGTCACGTGCCCAACGGACGTTCCTTCTGCATTCCCTCAAATGAGGGTCCAGTGGATCAATTTGGCCCTGGAGCTAAGGCCCTGAACGCCCGTTTTGAGTCAAAGCTGTTTGTCAATTTTGTCAATGCCTGTCAAATCTGTTGTCATTTTGAATTTTGTGGAAGACCGACCGTTTTAAGTCAAAGTTGTTTATCATTTTGCGAACTTCTGTTTAATTCCAAGCTGTTTGTCAGTTTTGTGAACGCCCATTCAATTCAGCTTAAGTCAAAGTTGTCCTGGGCTCTGCGCACAGGAACCCGGAGCACGACCGGGAGTGGAGGCACATCTGTGGCACGGATCAGCAGCAGCAGTCGGAGATCTACAAACACGCCCGTTTGAAGGACTCTTGGCAAGAGTCTTTAATAGCAGTGACGGATCTAATTTGATGAGGGTGTCAAAGCCCTGTTTCACCCCAATCCCATGCCACCAATGTTTCGTGGCATGGGATTGGCCATTTGCCAGGGGATCCTTGTGGACTGCTTGAAAAAGCCGGTTGACATCATCATGGTGAACTGCAAGTCGAACTTTCACCGAGCACCGGCCGTTTCCATGCTGATCTACGGTGCGCTCCAGGCAAGGAGTCTTCATGAAATTCGATACAAACGTTTTAATAGAGGCAAGTTATATTTAGATATCATATGCCTGTTTCTTGTTTAATGACGGGGTGTCACCAGGACTAATAGTAGACTAATTAACCAGTGCGAAACTAAATTTCAAACCCACGGTTGATGGTTGATTGGGTGAATGCCATCTAAGATCTTCCAAATACCTAGCCTGGGTTTACCTTCCTTTTACTGGGCTTTAAGACTACCCCCAGCAGGTGTTTTCTGATTTTTAAAACAATTCCTGTAGATATTACGGGTTATGTTCACTTATTTGCATGGGCTTGGATTTATTTATGTCGTGGGGCTGGCAATGAGTCATGTTGATTCATGTTGGGTAAAGCATGGTCATAAACACTCCCTAATCACCACTTAGCATTCAGTAAAATCATGACGATTCATTTGTTTTGTCAGTTTTGAATGTTTTGTCAGTTCTTTTGGTCACGTCCCTGACCTGTCTGACTCTGACAGGCCTACTGTGATACAACGCCCGTTCTGGCGATGCCCTCGCTGAACAACGAGGGCGCGAGCTGGACAACGGACATCTATATGCTTGGATTATTGATGGCCAAAGGGCGTTGGGAAGAGGACAAGGAGCATGTCAAGAGACATGGATGCAACAAAAATGTTTGGGACCCCCAACAGTGTTTTTAACATGCCCAGCTATATTAAAGCTGAGACCAACCATCTAACTAAGGGAAGTTCAGATGGCGCTCAAAATGGGCATCGTCAACATTCACAGCGTTGATCGAACGATGGGGGATTACTGCCAAACAGCACTACAATCGTTTGAGTATTTGCACGGACGTTTGGTGCTGGCCACTTCGTCGTGGTTAGTTAAGTCACGGCCGTTTTAATTTTTGACCCATAATTGTTTTTTTTCAGAGTTTCAACGTCCGTTCGGGCTGATCACCCAATAGCTCAGGAGTTTCCGCCACCCCCGCCGCCCAAAGCTCGCCCGTCTGCCAAGCAGCCCCGTCCAACTGTAAGTGCGAAGTTCAAGGCAGCCCCCCCGGGGCTTCAGGCCCAGTTGGAGAGGACGATGAGAATGCAGGGACCACCCCCTGAACCAGCGGGACAGCCTCCGAGACCGCCCGTTGCACCTCCGGATGTCAAGGGTGTGCCTGAGGGGTCTACCTCCAAGGCTAGGCCCGTTGGACCTCGGGCCCCGGGCCACTCAAAGGCTGTCTCGCCTTTAAAGAGATCAAAGAGGCCGTCAACTGGATTGTGGAGAGAGGCTGTTTTTAAAGTTTTTTGTGCGATTTGCTTCTTTGCTGCATCGAAAATTACCTACAAGCAATTCCTTACACAAAAAACAGGTTTCTTATCCAAAGTGTATCTAATAAATAGGGGTTTGTCTTGAAAAAATGCAGATCATTCTTCCATGTTTGTAGTACCTCAGAAACTGCATCTTAAATATATATATATATATATTGGGAAGATGTGTGCATATTACAGATTAAATTAATCAAATTGTAATATTTCATACTTGATAATTCCAAAATGCAAAAAATGGTGCGATTCAAAGTGGAAGCAGTTCAACTTCATTGAGTGGCAGCTGACAATCATGTGATTCAAAGCCGACAAAGCAGTTTAACTTCACTTACTGGCAGCTGGCCAGCCCCCATCTGATCATTGAGCCCTTTGCGACTCTGCAGTCTGCAGTCTCAAGTTTGTTGGTGGCTTGCCCCCTGCTTTTGGAAATCCCCCGGCAGCTGAACCATGGGATCTTGCATGTCTTGCTGGTCCTGGTGTGCAAAGGAGCAGCCGCTTCCTGACAGGTTGTGGGTTGCCCGCGACGGCGTTTCTTATCATATCAGCAATGACTGCCAACACATTGTGAGAAACCCGGCTGATGAAATTTGGACCAGGACCAGGCAAGGAAGTGACAACGTGCGCTACTGTTGCGTGTCGGTGCAATTTTCACTGTTTTTGGTTGAAAGCTGGCATGTCAAAGGTGCCCACTTTGCTTCCCTGCGCAAGACCAGCGATGATGCAGTGCTGACGAAAAACAGCACCTGACGGTTGTCCCTGGACTTTGAAAGGGGCGCTTGCAATCATCATTTCGCACAAGCGCACTCACGGGTACACAGACACATGCATAGGAGAACCAAAGATATGTGATGGCGGCGGAACGTAGCAGCATCATCAAAAAGTGTGGCATTTACCTGCGAATGTTTGTCAGCGTGTCAGTTGTCGGTAGTCTGTCTGTCTGTCTGTTTGTCTTTCTGTCTGTTGTTTGTCTGCGTCTTCAGTCAAGTGTTTGTTTGCGTCTGCCAGCTTGCCTGTGTTTGCCAGACCTGTGTCGGCCAGTGTTTTGTATGTCTGTTTCTGTCTGTTCCTGTCTGTTACTGTCTGTTTCTGTCTCTTACTGTCTGTTACTGTCTGTTACTCGTACTGTCTGTTACTGTCTGTTACTGTCTGTTACTGTCTGTTACTGTCGCTTACTGTCGCTTACTGTCTGTTACTGTCTGTCTGTTACTGTCTGCTACTGTCTGTTACTGTCTGTCACTGTCTGTCACTGTCTGTCACTGCCTGTCACTGTCTGTCACTGTCTGTCACTGTCTGTCACTGTCTGTCACTGTCTGTCACTGTCTGTCACTCCCTGTCACTGTCTGTCACTGCCTGTCACTGTCTGTCTGTCTGTCACTGTCTGTCACTGTCTGTCACTGTCTGTCACTGTCTGTCACTGTCTGTCACTGTCTGTCACTGTCTGTCTCTCTGTCACTGTCTGTCTGTCTGCCTGCCTGGCTGTCTGTCTGTCTGTCCGTCTGTCCGTCCGTCTGTCTGTCTGTCACTGTCTGTCTGTCACTGTCTGTCTGTCACGGTCTGTCTGTCACTGTCTGTCTGTCACTGTCTGTCTTATCACTGTCTGTCTGTCACTGTCTGCCTTTCACTGTCTTTCTCTCACTGTCTGTCTGTCTGTCACTGTCTGTCTGTCTGTCACTGTCTGTCTGTCTGTCACTCACTGTCTGTCTGTCTGTCACTGTCTGTCTGTCTGTCACTCACTGTCTGTCTGTCTGCCTGCCTGCCTGTCTGTCTGTCTGCCTGTCTGTCTGTCAAGATCATCGGTCCATCGACTATCAGTGGTTGTCCATCGAATATATCAGTGTTTGTCGGTGATGGACAGATACAGAGACAAACCGACTGAGACAAGTTGGCTCAGCCAGACATGTGTTGTCATGGGCTCCCTTGCAGTGTTAATTGATTCTAGACTATTTGTTTAATTCGCAACTTTCCATGATAACACTGCAGGCATTTGGCTTGAAGTGAGATCTCAGGACCATTCACGTCTGGAGACCAAGCCATGGACGAGCTGGAACTTGCCCAAGCTGAGGCTGAGTTTGTCCACGCTGGGCTTGCAAAACACAGGGCCGACAGGAAAAGAGGTTCATCCCTCTTGGTGCCGAGACTGCAGTTCAAGCGGCGCCACAGGGCCACACGCCTCTTGGGTTTCAAACCCAAAGCATTTCAAGCACAGGGCCCAAAAGCAAAGACTGCAAAAACCACACCCACAAAAAAAAAAAGAAGAGCAGTGGCCAAGTACAAGGCTGGCCAGAAGGCCACCGGGCGACCCACCAGGCCAGGAAAGGGCGAGTTGAAGGCAAGGCAGTTCGATCCGAGGGGAAATGCTATGCGACTGGTGGAGCTTATGCAGTCGAGGGCATTGGTGGCTTGCCCCATGCTGGCAGCAAGCCTCGGATTTTCAACAACAACATCATGGCAAGGGATGATTCCGAGATCAGTGCGGAAATCGACCTCTACACTGCAGGCCCACCCTGCCAGCCATTCAGCATGGCTGGTTTGCAGAATGGCTTGCACGATAAACGTGCTCATGTGCTGCTGCGTGTTCTGCAGACGATTGAGACCATTCAGCCCCTGACATTTGCCTTGGAGAATGTCAAACCATTAGCGCGGCACAAGATGTTCAAGCTCCTCTTTGATTTCATTTTGGCTTTCCTACGTTCCATCGAAGATGCAAATGGCGAGAAAGTGTACCAAGTGGAATGCAAGGTTCTCGTTCATTGCAAAAATTATTTGGTTAATTGTTGATTTGTTTTTTAAGCTTCTTGGTTGTCCTGTTGATTCATCATTTTTACGACAATGACAATGCCTCCTGAGGTTCTTGACACAAGCGTTGTAGGTGGCTTGCCCCAAGCGCGGCTACGCACTTACATTGTTGGCTGGAAAATTGCAAAGGCGGACCCTTCCATGAAATGGCAGTGGCCAGCCCGCATCCCTTGCAGGAGCGTGTCCAGTTTGCTGGACTGCACAGAAGTCTCTGACTTACACCACGGCGTGACCACGGAGAAAGGCAAAGCAAGGGTCCAGCAGCACCTGGTGTCAGTCGCCAAAATGATCCAGGATTTCATTCTGAAGTGTTCTGCCACGAAGGCCTGTGTTGGCTCAATCATTTTTCTTTCTTTGGCTACCTGAAATTGGTCATCTTTTAGCTCGTCGTTAATAATTTGTTCTGGTTGTTTCCTTGATTGAAAGAATTGCGATTCTGCATTTGTAGGTACTGAGTGAGTAAAAATAGCCACAGTAAGCACTTACATGTTTGGATTGAAGGCGTCACAGGATGCTGTGTGGTGCGCCGATGTCGGGTGCAGCTTGAAGCGCGGCGCGACAGCCCTGCCTGAAAAGTCACCGACGTTGACGCACAGTCGGTGCAAGTCTGGAGGTCACATGTTGCTACCCATGCAGCGGCACATGACTTTGAATGAAATTGAAGAACTTCAGGGGTTTCCAGGAGGACATTTACGGATCCCTGCCGGAGTCAGCAAGAAGAAGTATGCAGGCATGCTTGGCAACGCTTTCACTGTCAGTGTGATCGGCAGGGTTGCGTTGAATTTGCTGAAAATGGTCGGCAAGGTGCCCCCCGAACATTTTGACCCATGGGCAATGCCGAGCATGAAGCATGACTTTGTCGACTACAGCCGCTTCAGTGGAATGAAGCGCCGCTGCTTGAGGAGATGGTCACACAGACTCATAGACAGAGAAGTTTGCAACATCTGAATTTGGTTTCGGTGGCTTGCCCCATTCCTCAAATTTGGCTTTGATTTTGTTTTTGGTGCCTTGCCCCATACCAATTCTGAAATTAGGCTCTGCTGGCAATTCGAGCCGCCTTTTTCGTGAGCTGTTACATTGGTGGCTTGCATCATGGAACTTGCCCTCCGTAATTCATAATTCAGTGGTGCAAACTAGTGCTACCATCACCAATTCATGATTGCAGAGCGGTGCATTGCCACCTTGTGGAACCTTCGGAAAAGTATAGTGCCTCTGCGTCGCGAGATTTAGCTGAGCACACTCCCAAGCAAGGTCTTAGAACTGACAGTAGGTAGTCGGAGAATTTCTCTTTGGGGGGTCCTATGACAGTGCATGCGTGCCCATGCCGCTGCTTGGTTGCTTCAAACAAGTAGACATCAGTTGTTTGGACTGGTCGCCGGTGGCTTGCACCGCCTGCAGGGACACAAGGCCCAAGTCATGGAGGATTTACTGCCAGAGCACATGGATGTGGAACAATGCGTGCAGGACCGAGTGTTAATTGGGGAGAAAGATTTTGCAGGTTATAATTGGAAAACTCAAAGTTAGACAGAAATAGATTCTCTCGACAGCCGGGCGCCCCATCGAATGTACAGAGGAGGCTCAGATCAATTGTGTTTTAAAAAAATATGTTGCCAAATCCAGGGACCAGCCCCTCTGGACAGTCGGGGGCGCCCCAGACTGTCCAGAGCCGGCTCTGGACAGTTGGGGGCACCCCCGACTGTCCAGAGACCCTCCCAGAAGGTCCTCAAAACACAGTTTAACAGTAAAAACGGTGCGAAAAAAAAACTCCAAATAACAAATCGCAGACCTGCTGTGTCCAGAGCACTTCTGGATCCAGGAGGCCTTGTGGACAGTTGGGGGCGCCCCGGACTGTCCAGAGGAAACTTTTCACTCATATTTCTTGACTTTTGAAAATTTCAAAAGTCAAGAAAAATGATGGAAAAGTTTCCTCTGGACAGTCCGGGGCGCCCCCAACTGTTCAGAAGACTTCCTGGATCCAGAGGTCCTCTCGACAGGAACTCCGTTCGAGGAATGGAGTTTTTGCAAATCACGGCCGTAGCTCTGGACAGTGCCAACATGGGTCTCAAATGCTGTTTTTTCTTGAATTTGCCAGGAATTCGTGCCAGAGCAGATCGAGCCTGTGACAGACTTTGGCAAGAAATGGAAAAGACTTGGGCCCAGATGGGTGGCACAGTACCCTTGGCTACACTGCACAAGGAACCGAGCTGGAGAAGTGAACAGTGTGTACTGTAAGGCATGCAAGCTTCATGGCAAGTTCCACGCTGAGTTTCGAACAGTGTCCTCGTTGCAGAAGGCGCACTTCGATAAACCTGAGCGAGCTAAGAGCCACAGGATAGCAGTTTCTGATCCTGACGTTCGCTTGGCCCTTGTTGCCCCTCCAGTTGCTGCTTTCGTGGAAGCTCTGCGTTTAGTCCGCCAGGGTAAAGCAGGAGGGGCTGAAGGCACCGGAACTTTGAAACGTGACAAGTTGCTCAAAGCTAAGTATTGCTTGGCTGAAGCTTTAAGGTTTCAAACTCGCAGGGACTTGAGGAGTTGCAATTGTTTGACTTTGCACTCGGATGCTTCCAAAGGGAGACTACTTTTGCGTGTGCAAGGTTGTGGCCCACAGCTGCGGCAAGTTCATGCTTTGGTGGGGTGCCAAAAGCTTGAAGATTTTGACTCCCACGGCATTGCCAAATGTGTCTTGCTGATGTTGGCGGATTTGTGCTCACCATTCAAGCACAGCGAATCCTTTGAAACGAGCCAGTCGCTGAATGAAGATGTCACCTCCATGGACAAAGCTTTGTTGGCCCATCTCTTTGAGATCACAGAGGTCTTCAACGCAGACGCAGCTGCAGATGAGCAATTGGCTGGCCAGATCCTTGAATCTGGTAATAATAGATTCCTGGAGGCTTGCCCCGGAACTTGTCCTGCCTTGCTTGAAGCTATGGATGTGAACATGGCTACATTCTCACAAGTGTTCCCAAACTTGAAGGTCATCAACAAAGACAAGCCCCATGCCGCCCGTAGGATTGTCAGCCGGACATGGAAATGCGACCGTGTCCTCGACCAAATTGTGAAGAAAGTGTTCATGGACACCGATGGCATTGTGCAACAGATTCATTTCTCCGATGTGTTGCGGTCCATGTATGCCCAGAACGTTCGAGCCATGCAGTTCACCCCCTTGTGGAATGAGATTTCGGACAAATTTTCTGCAGCGAAGCACCGATTCGATTCGTGGAGCATGCCCTTTGCTAAAGTTTGCCTCACGTTAGATGCTGTGATCCGAACAGCCCAGTCTGCCCATGAAGAGAGGAAAAATGAAAAGGTTGGCCACGCAGCTCGGACATTCTTAGACCTTCTGCCTGAGGAAACAGTTTTGCTCATTGGGATGCTTGCTGATGCTCGAGAGGAAAATCTGCAGTTGACCAGGCGCTTGGATTCTGAGAGAACCACGTCAGGAAGCCTTGCCATTGCAGTGCAGCAGTTTGTCATGAAGTTGGAGGTGCTGTTTCTGAAAGGAGCAGTCGTGAAGACTGGCTACACAGCCCACCTTTTGGACCAATTGCAGAAGCCACGGACGATATACATTGACAAAGTGGCCAAACGGCTCGGTGGCTTGCCCCAGCCGCAGATGGCGACGGTCGTTTACCGATGCTTGAAACGCTTTGCTTCCTGGGTGCAGCTAGCGCAGGAAGTGGTCGCAACGGAGTTTCCAGCGTTTGAGATTTTGCAGTCTATGTCCATTTTCCATTTGGAATCGTTGAATGACCAAGTGCACAGAAGAGACGACCACAGGACTGAAGCACGAGACGTTAGCGATAAGATCCACAAAGTGTCAAACGTTTTGTCCTTGGATGAGTGCGCGTTGTCAAGCCAGTTTGCAGACTACCACCCTGTAGCTCAGCACAAGTTTGAATCCGCTGCAGACATCGAACCAGTGCTGGCCTGGAAAGCAGCTTTGGATACAGTTCTGGAGGACAAGCGAAATCTCCAGCACCACCCCCAAGAGGAACTCAGGCAGGCTCTGAGTAGAGCTATTGGCTGGGGCTGCTCCAGTTCGGGTGTGGAGCAAAACTTTGCAGGTGTCCGAACATTGACAAAAAGCAAAGGAAACATGACCGAAGTGAACCTGAGGGATGAAATTTTCCTCTTGACCACACAAAATTGGACCGAAACTCAAGACCAGGAGTTGGCAAAGGCTGCTGCGGTGATTTGGTCTCAACTTTTTGGGACAGTGAAAGCAGCAAGTTCCAAAGACTCAGTCTTAAGATCTGTAGCAGCGCAGCGTGGGTGGAAGAAAAGGGCCAGAGAAGGCACATGGCAAGCGCCTTGTCTCAAAACTAGTTTCATGTGCTCAACACTCAAAATTTAGATCATTTTGAACAAAGATTTTGCTTACTAAGGCTTTTCGGAGGCAACGTGCTGCTGCAGTGGCGCAGGAAGTGAAAAAATGCGGAGATGACCCGACACCAGGATTTTTGGTCCACGAAAACGAGCATTGGACACAAGAACATGAGAAAGAAACGCAGTTACCAAAAAAAAGACGTAAAGAACGTGCTTTGGAAGCAGCTGCTCACAATGGGCTTACAACGGAAGAAAAACTCAATGAATAGGTCCAGACCATGAGCAAGCCGTGGAGGACTTCAAAGCTGCGAGAAGTCAGAAAGTGAGAAGCTACTTGGCCAAAAAAATCCGAGACACAAAGAAAAAAGAGAAAGCTGCGGCATCAATTTTTCTTTGTGCAGTGGCAAGAAAGTTTTTATTTCAACAATCCAAGCCGCTCCAAGCCTTGTGCTGGACCAGCACATGGACAAGTTGGGTGCAAAATACGAATCTTCCCTTCTGCGTGCGGACGCGTTTGTTGTTCCAGATGTCACAGATCCTGCTGAAGAACCTTTGTGGCACGCATTCCTTTCCGGAGGTTTGCTCCTCAGCCCTCAAGCGTTTAGTCATGGCGAGGGACCAGCTGTGAAGTATTGCTGTGCGGTCAGCATCCGCAGGACTGTTTACATCAGCAGCGGTTTTCAAGAAGAAAACCCTCACTTGTGTGCAGCTATCACTGGCCGCATGCTTCAATGCTTGCAGAAAGCGCAACTTCGCCACAGACCGTCTGCCGAGCTTGTCGCTTTTGTCACCCAGAAAGAAAGCAAACAAATTCTGTCAGTCCTTGGTGATACCGGCCAGCCCGCAACTGGTCCATGCTGCAAGTTCTTGACCAGAACAAACGCAGCTGATTTTTTATGTAAAGTTGAATTTGCTAAGCATGGTTTATGTGGTCGCTGATTCGAGCATTTATAACAGTAATCAATTCATAACACTGCAATTTCGTAAGTTTTCTGTCAAGTCACCACATAATTTCTTCATTAATTTGGTGCGTAAAATTCAGGATTGAGAGCGGGATGGTGGCTTGCCCCTCCTAATCATTAATTTGTTTGCATGACGCTGCCCCCCAGTAGCGCTATAGGTCATGGGCCTTGTGGCTTGCCCCGGTTTGATATTTTTGCATTTACATTAAAAATTAAAAATCAATAGTTTTTTTTGGACATTCTCTTTCAGCTTCTCTCCACAATCCCGCTTGTAATTAGCTGTTTCAATGAAATTTCGATCCGCGGAAAGAAAAATTGCAGCCGCGGACTGTCTGAAACGCCATAGTAAGTGCAAGTAACTAGCCACCAGCCACTGTCTGAGTCACTGGTGCATACACGAGAGTTGCTAAGA